TAATATTTACTTTTATTTAAGTAAATGTATCATTTCTAACCTGTATTATTCCATAGAATACACTACTTCGAAGACATGAATCAAATGCATCACTGAAGCAGAATCTGCTAACGAATTACAAGTCATCTAGGAGATATTGCATCTAAGCCACAATCAGTTCATACAGCACGCCGTTGAATCGATTTCACTGCTTTGACCGATATTTCACAGTAGATAAATATAGTCAAATTAGGAAAACACTAAAATTTTTAGCTCAAATGAATGAACCATTCTAGAGATATAGGCATTGCAAGTATAGGTATGCATCTACATTTTGAGAGTTTTACACAGTTATACTTTTCAGTGAATTTCCATTTTCGAAGAAACAATAAGAGTTATAATAGAGATACTTTCAATCATAGACTATCTTTTCATGATATTGGAAGTGTCGTTACATCTGGGGCCTTTAGTCGATAGCATATACCATTTCCAGAAGATATGTTTAGGTAGATAAGGCAAGTTGATTGAATCAACATGATGAACCACCTTGAGAGTAGTCTCATTTGATAGGCTATATCAGAATCTATCGCATATTGTTTTCAAAAGTTTGTTATATTGAATTTTAATGAACAAAATTCTTTGAATAAGATCAAAAACATCAAATTTGTCATGCCATTCTTGCTATGAAGATTAGTGATTTGTTGTGATATTCGATTTTTATAATTCAGATAAAAGCATGTATTGAGAAATTCCAAGATAGAAAATTTCAATTTTTTTGAACATGTCTATGAAAAATGGCAAAATATTTATCTGTTTGAATTTCCTCGGATAATATTTAATTCACCTATTATTTTGAGATATTTTACAAGAGAATATTCCCAGATAAAAACTCACTTTCAAGTCAGAACTATTAGCATTATAAAATCTCTAACGAATTGTGTAAACCATTGAAAGAGTGCTTGTCCCTAATTTGTTACTACGAAGATATCGATTTTTTACCAATTACTTATGGGCTATGTGCATAATCTTTCCTCAGGAACATCAAAATAATTGAATTTTGAATTTCTACTCGAAATTTTGCATATGCAAAGCTTACGATGAAAATAATTTATGGTGAAATATTCAGATCTTTTGATTGCTTCTTAACTGAAATATGATCGTATGAAAAAAATAGGAGAGTTAAATATCATCAAATAAAATTCAAAAAAAGTAAATCTTTCGTCATTTTTCACAGACACATTCAAACAAATTGAAATCTGAGATTGAGAGATTTCTCGATACATGTTTTTATCTGAGTTACATAAATCGAATATCTCACAACAAATTACTAATCTTCATAGCAAGAATCATATGACAAATTTGGTATTTTTGATCTTGTTCGAAAAATTTTGTTTATCAACATTTAATATAACAAACTTCTGAAAACAACATTCAATACATTCTGATGTGCTCTTTCGAATGAGACTACTTTCAAGCTAGTCCATCACACTGATTCCATGACATATACTACCGATTAAAAGACACTGGTGTAACAATGCAAGGCTCTCGAAATATAGATGAGTACCTATACTTGCAACGTGTAAATCTTCAGAGAAGTTCGTTGGTTTGAGCTGAAATTTTTAGTTTTTCTTTCTGATTTTACTAAATCGATCTACAATAGGACTTGATCATGGCTTAGGTGCAGATATTTCCTACGGTGTAACAGCATTGCAAGAGCTCCTTGGTACTCTCTACAATGTGTAAGTCGATCATTTGCATCGTCTATCTCATAATGGATCTCTATATTAAGTATGCGAATAATTAACATATTTGAATGAAAAAATTTCTGTACATATCGCGATTATTCAATTAACATTTTTTCAATGAATTTTAATTCTGAACCTGTGAGTTCAACCGTGACAAGAAAAGTATTAGTCAACTGTCGATTCGCTTTGAATAAAATGATACCTATAAAATCACTATAAATTACCGAGATTTAATAGTGTTGAACAATATAAATATCGCACTAATGAATAGTGTAGTATGTTTTATACAGCTTTATATACAACCAGTAGGAAGTCTTCATGGCAGGTATTGTCTAACAAGTGTTCAAAAACTAAAGTTTATGTTAATCTGATTCTACATTTTCTTTGTCTCTAGAAAATAGTCAATATAAATTCAATTGGCTTCTTATTAATATAATATTTTTGCTAATCAATATTAAATAAACAACCATCATATTAATTCCTAGCTGTTAAAAAGATTAATTTTTACAAATTTTTCTACATTTTATATTAGATTATCATCCAATTCAATTATATTAATGCTCACATACTAATAATATATATAAAAAAGATCGACGTAATAATATTTTCTAGAACAAAATATCAGCATTCACAAATAACAATTTGGCTTTTTATCTAAAACCTTCGAGACAAAAATAAAGATATTAATTTCATAAGACAAATGAAAATGACACAGAAAAAAACATGATAAGAATATCAAATAGAATTTAATTTCATTACTAGTATCATTTTCTTCAATCCTAAGAGTAAAATAAAAAATAGCACAGATCATACTATGTATATAGACCTCGATATGTATGGACAGAAGATACCAACAGACGATAACATAGATAACATCTCGTTACTGTCTAATCTATCACATATATGCATTAAGTCATCAGGTTCTCTCTAAATATATGCATTCTATACGAAGAAGTCTCTTTCTTTCGATTGATAATTAAGAAAGAAATAATTCAATTATAGAGTACTTTAGATGAATATATGAATAACATATATACATATATATTGGAGTAAGATGAAAGAAATCTTCGTTAATATGTTAAATGTTGAGATGTAGGTTTATGGCGTACTTTGGTTGTTGTTGATGCTGTTAGTAATATTGGCGGAAAGCGTTCTTTTCTATTTTTTTGTCTCCTTCCTCTTTTTTCCTTGTATATTCATGACTGATATTAACAACTTGGCTTGAGTAGAAATTTCTCGATGATTCTTTTACGTATCTTCTATTGATCAAACTGATTTCTTCTTGCTATTGTGCAAAATTAACATAGAGAAATAAATATCTATCTGCTTGATCAAATTAAACTGAACATCTAATTTTTTTTCGATTAATTCGCTACATTATTCTCAGTTTATCTAAAACCTGTGTATACACTGGTTGTTACACTATCTATTTCCAAAGTTTGAGTCACAAGTGACAAACAATGGATGAGAAAATTGTAACTATATTTCATGTACTCGAATTTCGTTGAAACAAAATATCATTATCATACTAATTCTAACGATATTTTTGGACACAATTTCTGTTCTTTGGTGATCCATTATCATGTAATGAGTACTCTATTAAAATGATGAGGAAATCAATGATGTTCGTATATCGAATGATTGACTTCTAGCATAAGTTCTTCGACAGATATGTTCTTTCTACCCTGAGATCCTCGAAATCAGACAAACGACTTTCAAGCATTAGAAAGTAGATCCTTATAGAGCAATTAGCTGTGCAGAGTCTTATCATGATGTTAGATTTTAATTTTACACTAATCTGAGCATAGAATGTTCACTAGCAACATTCACACTGATTTCTTATGAATCGAGATTTTGAGAGTTTTATCATTCCCAGCTCCGATTGGTGTAAAACCAAAATTTGATATTACCGTGAGATTCAGTGCAACACATTGCCATATCTGGATCTACTTTCCAATGTTTGAAAGACGTTCGGTCGAACAAGGACATATTTTCCGAAGGACTTATAGTAGAAGCCAAACGATGTAGATTGTCTCATCATTTTAATGGCGTGCTCATTACGTGTTAACTGATCACCAAAGAACAGAAATTGTGTCTAAAAATATCGTTAGAAACAGTATGATAACGTAATTTTGTTTCGACGATACTTGAGTATATGAAATACAGCTGTAATCTTCTGATCTATTTCTCATCATTTGTGAGTGAAACTTTGGAAATAGATGGAGTAACTATCAGTGTATCAACAGTATGTGTTTTAGACCAAGTGACAACAATACAGACAATTAATCGGAAAAAAAAACAATTAGATGTTCTTTTTATTTTGATCAGAGTATTATACGGTAGTACTTTCTGACAATAAGAAACGAGTGTTGACTTGTTACTTTCTATCGTAGAACTAATAATAATGATTTTTAACCTTTTTTTTTCTTTTATCCTGTTATTATCTTCACCCTAGTATAAAACAAACACATCTTTTACAGCTAGCTATGTAGTTAACGCTTATAACGATTCATTAGATTACTGCCATAGATGCATACCAATACTGTTGATTCTACTGACATAAGATGAATAGTATATAAAAAGAAATAGAAATCGCGTCATAAATTGACAGCACATCGTTTGCCTGATGTTGCTGTTGTTGTTGCTTGCTCCACCTCATCTTTGTCCAACTGATGAGATACAGAGCAAGATGGATAGATCGTCATTATCATAAAGCAGTAACAACAGCGTTCTTACTTATCTTAGCAATACGAACTGCAAATTAAAAAGCAGAAGACGAAGAAGAAAAAGAAAAGAAAAAAAGTTTTCCGCATATATATATACATATATATATGTGTGTGTATGGACAACGACGAATAACAACTATACTACCAAGGCTGATTGAGAAAAGACATACCCATTTTCTCGTTTTTTTCTTCTCTGTCTCTCTATTATGCTCTTGCTGATCTGAAGCATTCTATATATATAAACTACAGCAATAGATGATAACCTTATTGCACTTCTTTCTATTTAGGAAAAGAACACTGTGCTATAGAATGCAGTTACACGTGTAAGTCCATAACCGAACTAAGTTTCTGATCATTTTGATTAATTATTATCGAAGAATACTTAATATTTGAAAAGATACATTGTGTTAATCGTCGTCATGTAGTAAGCAGAATTGACAGTGACTTAGTTCTTGTACTATTCAGCTGAAATTATCGGTAGATAAAAAACAAAAATGAATAAATTTGATTCTAGATTATATTTATCATTTATTTGTTAATTATTTGAACAATGCCACAGTATGGAGGCGGTGGTGACAAATGTCCACGTTGTCAAAAAACTGTTTATCCAGCAGAAAAACTTCTTGCATGTAGTGGTTCATGGCATAAAGCTTGTTTCAAATGTAAAACATGTAAGATTATTTTATTTAATTTTAATTTTTTATATATATTCATTATTTATTTGATTTTTTTTTATCAATTTCAGGCAATTCAATTTTAACATTGGCTTCATACAAAGATTTTTCTCAAGAGGTCTTTTGCAAGAGTAAGCTTAGATAATAAAAAAAGAATCATTAGATATTTATTCTATCATTTTTTGTTAGGCTGTTATCAGGATAAACTTCATCCTCATGAACGTAATCGTAAACAATTAGAAACTAAATTTAATAGACAACCTGGTGGTGGTGCCAGTGCGGCAACTACAGCCGAAGCAGCACCTGAAGCAAGTGGAGACCAAGAATAGATGTAGAAAAAAAGCATCAATATCTCGAATATACATCCAGTTTAGATCAACACTAATACAAAAAAAAAACTTCATATCAAATTTAATCCGTTTTATTATTTGAATATACAAAACAAATAATTCTAATTTTCATATTTATTCAATTTTTTTTTCATATTTGGTCAGGAACAGTATCGTTTTTGTCAATATATGCGTGCGCGTGTTTGTGCCTACCCTAATTAATTGTTTGCCTTTTTTTTTTTTTTGCTTCAAAAAAAAAACATAATATAGATAAGCGCAACATACAATCATATTTTATTCAATATCATTAGTTTGATCGGTGAAAAAAAAAACAACAAAATTATATATGCGAAGAAATTTTCTTTGTATTTTACCATAGTTGTAAAAAGTATTTATAGAAATAATAATTATTTTATTCATATATAAAAGAAGAAATGACATTAATTCTTATATTTCTCAAATTATGCATGACGTTTGAAAAAAAAAATGTAATTGAGGTGACGAAAGAATTCATGCTGTTTTCATTTAGATGACGATATTAATGAGAACGATTATATGACGTTGTCATCGATATATAATGCTTACATCTGAAAAGATAAATAGTAAAAATTGATGATTTATGAGAAGGATCGTGTCATTTATCATAGCATCTCAGATTTCGTTTGCTATCTTTTTTTTTATGTTTTAAGTTGATTACAGTGACAATAAGTCATTTTATTACCTAAAAAACCCTCATCGTTTATCACTAAGCAATAAAACTAAATATATAATTGTATATCGATGGTTATCTCTCACCCATTCTATTTAAACAAGAATATGACCTTCTGAACGATGAGAATAATCATCCTTAAGAACTTTCTATATCCATGATAGTCCAAAGATCAATAGAAAGAAATTTTTTAATTTCACTAAATTCTTTTTTACAGAAAAAATGACAATAAGATTATCTGTTTTCAGAATATACATAAACATTGCATTGTATATTCACTATAGAAAGAAAAAACTTATGATTAGTACAAAATTGATAGAATATAACAATGGTATTATGAAATATTCATCGATAGTTGTTTGGTTTTAGCAGCTGTTCGTTTTTGTCAATCAAGCTTGTTTATATATATATATATCGATAGAAAATCGTTTGACTATATTGATTAACCCTAGCAGAGTATATTTACATATGTTCGAATAAAGATTATATGTATATATATATATATATATATATATAT